TTTTATAATCTAACGAAAAGTAGAAATATGTTGGATGTGCACCTTTGACCAAGCCTGAAACAAGCCTACTGTTTTCAAGTTTCATTTTAATAGAGATTAAGATCTTCAGAGCCATAGTAATTAGAACCATTTCTCTGTGACTTATACGATAAGATTTCCATCCTTTCTTCAAAGACTGATCGACCTGTCATAAGAAACAGTTAAAATAAATTATATTCAAGTCTTAAAATTTCAATTGGTCATTTCAAACTACAGTCTTTTCAGACCGACTGAATTTACTTATCTTTCAAGCGTTAGTCTAATTATAAATAGAACTAAAAGAAAAATTAACTATAACAAGGATCAATCAATAAAGAAACGAAATACTGATTTATAAAATTACGGCTTCGGAAATGTCTAACTTTTCATTAAAATAGTTTGATAAAGATATTTATTCACAAAATAAACGACATATACCGCTTAATAAAACACTTATTAATTGCGTCATTTATTCTTATATCACCCTCCTATAGTGAAACAAAAAGAAACTTGTTTGATTGATTTTATCCGAAGAAAAAAAAGACGTTACCAGTGAATTTGTGCATGAAAATAATGAACCACATATATACATTAGTGTTGCCCGATTCTCTGGAATTAAAATTTAGAAAAAAACACACAAAGAAAACAAAACAAGAAAATATTCTTTTTATTTATTACCCTAACCGAAAGTGGTGTTCAATTAGGGTTACGTTTTTCTTTTAAAAAATGAAACAGTAAAACCAATACAATCTATAGCGCTGTGAAATCAATATTTGGTTTTTCACTTTTTATACACCAATATACGTTGTGTTTTTTTTCATTGATAAACTACATTCATCAAAGTAAACTTGAATATCTTTGACTTTTCCTCTTATTTTTAATGAAATAAAAAGTAAGATTTTATACGACGTTTTCATTGAATCAGTTAGATTATTGTAAGGAATTAGTAGACAGAAAGTGAGATTAATTGAAGATATGTTTATCAGCTGGTCTGCTTCTTTTTTTTTTTAAAGAAAATATCACTTTGCTTATTGTCACCAGAGATTGTTTACATTATATAGTTAATCACAAGTGAAATGATGCCAATATTTTGTATTCTCTTTGGAATAACGAAATTCTTTGAAATATTCTATACAATTCTGTTTTCATAGTTGAATTCATGAGTCAATTAATGCTAGATCACCGTCGAAAACCTGGAAGCATTCCCGGGATTCGATCCCAGAACCTTCGGTCTGGTGAGCTGGCACTTAACGTGCAAACCATTGAACCGGTATACAATGCTATTAACTATTACAATCTCCACAAACCTCTATTCTATCATCATGTGCTAAATAGTGAATGGCTCCAAAATGTATTTCCTGCAGTTCTAGTGAGAAGCAGTGATTAATGGAGTTCAACCAGGTCTGTTGTGAGGCAGTTACTCACTGAAGACAATGATGGACGGTCGCGCGATTTCACGGATCGGTTGAAGTTAAACATTAACACCGTTGGATGTCAGCTCAGTGGTCTACAGGTTAAGCGTTTGCGCGCCAAACCGTAGGTCCTGGGGTCGAGTCTCAAGTGTAGGGTCGCGTATGCGCACTGTTGAGTGGTGCCATACTAAGACGAAACCGTTGTTCAGTGCTTTCAGGTTTTCAATGATGTTCTAGCTTTAATCGACTCATGAATTCAACTATTAAAGTACTAAAATTTCCACAAACCCCTATTCTGATAATTCACTTTTCATATTAAATCAATGAACAAACAAGTTCAAACTATTTTCGATTCACTGAAGGTATTATTATTGAAATATTTCAAAGTATGAAAATCTAACTAAGGTCAATTCCATATGAAAATTCAAATTAAATTAGTTTTTTTATGAACTTTACAATAGTAATTGTAGTAGTAATAGTGACTTATTTCTAAGTGACAATAATTAAGAATATTTTCAAGTGAACTGGTAAATTATTAAAAATAATTCAATCTTCAATCGATCTTTCTTGAATAAAAACGACTCTATCCTACATAATATGCTATGGAATGTGAAATATGGATGTTAAACTTGATTGTTAATTAGTAATAACAAATAGTCATTTAAAATTTATATATTTCACTGAATGTGTTTGGTTAGACAGATATTAAAAGCCAGTAAACACTAAGAATTTGTTATTGACTTTAATATGAAACTGTTACTCTTTTCAGTAATGAAAACTTTTTATTAAAGATAGGATTATATCCTAACCTCTTCAAGTATATTCACTGAGTGATCAAGTCATTTATGTCAGCTATTTTTAAATCTATTTACTTACTTAAGCCTGTTACTCTCAATGGAGCATAGGCCGCTGACCAGCATTCTCCAACCCACTCTGTCTTAGGCCTTCCTTTTTACTTCTATCCAGTTGTTGTTCATTTTTCTCATGTCTGTCTCCATTTCTCAGCGTAATGTGTTGTTTGGTCTTCCTCTTTTTCTTTGGCTTTGAGGATTCCATGTAAGGGCTTGCGTTGTGACTCAGTTGGTTGCTTTCCTCAATTTGTGGCCTATCCAGTGCTTCTTCTTGATTTCTTCGACCGCTGGGATCTGGTTTGTTCTCCCCCATATTAGGTTGTTGTTGATAGTATATGACCAACGGATCTGAAGTATTTTGCGTAAACAGCTGCTAATAAATCTAACTATTCTAAAAATAAATAATCATTTTTATAAAATTTTCACAGTTCTAATTCCAGAAAATAGATATATGTTACAGTTAACCAATGATCATACTTTTTAGTGGAAATGTGAATAAACATGGGCAATGAATAACACTTAAAGTTATTAATTAAAATATTTATTAGTTAGACGAAAAGAAATGAAAAAATAGCTGTGGTGAATACGATATTACATAACCATCTATGGGAACAGTATTAAACCTAATGAGGAAATAAAAGAGAGCAGAAATCCAGCTTAGAAGACCATAAATCTTTAATTTAAATAGAAAACGAATTAGATACTTATAAAATATTGCAAAAATGTAGATAAATGATGTCATATTGATTCATTACCTATATCGTTTGGGATTTGTTACCATCCACTACCTCAATGTGTTATTCGAGATAACATAGGAGTAGGCTATAAAAAAATTAGAAGTCGTTAGACCAAGCCATAACAACAGCCTATCAAATGATAGAGTAAGACTGAGTCGCGTATGTAAGGGCTGGTCAAGGTTTGCATAATAACTGTAACTAGTGCTAAGTGGTGTTAAAAAGTGTTAGCGGGATATAAATTGGATTGAAGCATGTTGCGTGCAGGATTATTTTGACGCACGCTGACCGACTTCTCATCCAATCAGCCAGTAGATACTTGGAGAACACTCTAGAATCTCATGTAAGCGTTTTCCTTATTGTAATTCATACTTCCATATACCCTTATTATTTGGAGCATAACTACGTTCCTGTTCAGCCGTGTTCTGATTTGGGGACTTGTCGAGTGAAGTTATGTCCTAGAATGTTAAGCAATAAGAGTAGCTGGATCGTAATAAGAGAAATTATGACAAAAAGCTAACTACCAATATTCATACATACTTTCCAAACTGTATTCTTAAACACCCGATCTTTTCTATAATCATTGTTGATACTATTATTTCAACTACTTTGTTACTGATCTCGTCGTTCGGTTGCATGGCGCTCTGAGCTGACGCACGTCTGTGCCGGGCATTACACTGATTACGACTAACTGTTCAGTAGTCAATTTATTTATAGCTCTGTGCAAAATTAACCAACAATAGTAGGCATAAAATGACAAAGATAATTTATTTCACAACTGTCAGGATAAATTTTTTCTACATAAACGGCAGATTGTCAAACAGAGCAGTTTGTCTTAAAATGTGATACGAAATGGAAAATACGCATATATTTTTTATATAGACTTCATAGAAAGTTTTTGCTCTATTAAAAGTATTATTGTTATCTTTTAGCATACTTTATACAAATCTGTTTAGAATTAATCCAAGTAATGATCTCACTATGGGAAACAATAGAGAATAGAATATTTACCAGAGAAAGTTTTATATTTCATGTGTCTTTACTTAAGTAGATGTAAGTACCATAAAAATCTATACAAAACATTATTTGCTAGGTTAATGACTGAACAGAAAAAAACGAAGACCATGCTTGCGGACAAGCAGTCCCCAAGTTTAGTTGCGCAGTCAGTAAGTACTATCGAATCACATCAATTCTACATCCAAACATTAATCACCAAAGATGTGATTAGAAATGTGGACTTGGATTACCGTATTCATTTGAACCGAATTAGATAAATGAAATAGCTGTGTACTTAAAACTAATCCCGAAAATCTTGAAACTCGCAAGATTTTGCAATGTTAAAACTGATGTTTTCCTTAATAGGGGCTTTTAAATACTGCACATTTAAATCTTAGTTTAGTTGACAGTCAGCTTTTGAATAATTTTCTGTGTGAGTTCCTGTTACAGGATTATGAGGCGAATCTTTATAAAATTATTTGGCCAACATAACGAACAAGAAAAATCATCCTAGCACTAACTTTGTGTTAGTCCTCATAGATAGCCATATTTGTACACCCTTCTAGGTAGATATGATCGGACAAAATTAAGCTTTGTAGCCAAGTCTTAATTTCTTTAGAAAATGACTACCTATTGTTAAACGATATTTAGTTGTTTGTTCTTTTATTACTCTTATTTTATCTTACGACTGAAGAATCATATTTCAGTGCCAATTAGTCTTGTCTCATTACGTCAGTCCATTATAGGACTTGGATCAGCAACTCCGTTTACCGAGCACTTGTCATTCAACTATTCTGTACCATTAGGTTTCACCTATCAAATAATCAGAGTTGGATAATGGCGCATGTTCCATCCTATTTGTGACTCGTCAGTTGGATGTATCTGCATCCCAGAGTTGGCGTTTACTTTGGAACCTGAACTTAGTACACCTTGCATCAAATGCCACCACACTACCCACTTAGCTACCGAGTCCAAAAAGACACTAACTTGTGCAATAGAAAGAATTTTAATCCGTCTTTACAACCCGAAAATGTTCATAATTCGATAAGAAATGTTTTGGAGGGTTCAACTTGAAACAATTATTTATCACACATGGATATTAAACCTTGAGAGGGCACAGAAAAAACTGGAATAATATTTATGAAGAGAAACCAGTACTCTATTTTCCAAAATCTAGGTATGTGCCGTCGATCCGACCCAAATGAATTTTGTCGATTAAACTTTCATTTCTAAAATTTCATATCGAACTCTCTAATGAATGAACAAACCAGGGAAAACATTTAATATCAAATAAACTAGTTACAATGTAATTGTAGACAATAAGCAGCCTACCATATCGATAATGGTTTTAACATCAGAAACCCAGAACCGAAGATTGCTCGATACCAGGTAGTGCCTAGTTGCCACACACAGCCCAACAAACAAAACTAGTTTTATAAATTGTCCACGTAACGACTACCAACGAAGTTGACTGGATAGAAAACACAACAGATACTGAGTGCGTCAGTGTGAGGTAACAGTCGGTAGCTATTTAGTTTTACCAAATAAACTGACCTAAAATTAGAAACAGTCAGCGACATAACTATTGACAAAGACACGCCGTTGATAATTCATAAGAACAGACACTTCAGAATTTCGGTAGAATAAACTGATGAACAGTTCAACTGTATTAACGTTATCTTTTACTAAAATCCCATCACCCTATCAACCGATAAGCGAAAACTGGATCTATAGACCCCTGAATGAGAACTCAACACTGCAATGAATTTAATACAAAAATCGCTTTTAAATTGGTTCACGTAATTAAGAAAGATAAAAAGATAAATATTAATCCAATTTCTAATAGACATGTAATTAATTTAGTTGCATCAACAATCTCATTACCAACTCATTAGTTAGATGTTAACAGTAAAAAAAACACAAAACTAATGTTGAAACAGTTCCAGTAAAACAAACAAGTCGAACTACATTATAAGTTAACTACAACGAGAAAGTTGAAAAATATTATCCACTAGAAACTCAATCACATTGATTCCATATTGCGACCGTTGAATGTGATTTTCCTGAGTTTAATATAATACTGAAGATGGCATAAAAGTGTGCACTATAGACGAATCCACAGGAAAAATCAAGAGCAGTCAACCAGAACCATCGAATATTTGCTCCAGTTTAAATCATATTAAAATTTAACAGAACACATTGAAACCATATAAGTAATAATTCATTTTTAGCTAAATACCCGCAGTCTATTGGGGGAGATTTTGTTAACCTGTTATAATAGTAACTTAAATCGTTACTAAAATTGTTCATCTGTAGGCCCTATGTTCAAACCCCAAACCACGTGTATAAAAAGAAAGAACAATAGAGAAAAAAATTAATGAGCAGAAACTGACAAAATTTCAATATAAGAGCCATTATCATTATTCATTACACAAAAAATAGACTATACAAAGAACGCAATAAGGAGAACTTTCAAGCATTAGAATATAAATTATTCAGCAATGATGATAATAATCCATTTAACACATTCCATTGTTTTATTTTCGACATCGAACAAAAAGCAAAATTAATAAAACAGCAGAAGTAGAGGTACAAAAAACAAAAAAAAAGAAAATGGAGGATCAATGGAGAACGAAGGCATACAACTACAGTAACTTTATCATAACTAGGCGTGTTGAAATTTCAGCGGTGTTAAACGGCTCTTCAATACAGGTCTTTCTATGTGTACATAGAGATGTATTCATGATCAGGTAGTGAAGATAAGAAAGAATATAACTCAAGTAAAAATTACGTAAAAACTAAATCAGAAAGGAAAATCAAGACAATTAATTTTGTTTTTGTTTCTAAAAAAAAATGAACAAAGACTGTGAATGAATTGCATAGAATGTGAAAACCCACTAAAACTGAAGAACTAACACACGCACACAAGTTTAATTTTCTAGCAGACTTACAACTAGATAAAAATTATGACATAAAATGATAATATCTTTACAAAGGATGACAATTTTCTGGTTATGAACACCTGATTTCTATTATAAACCTCAAAGTTTTATAACTACTAGTGATGCTGTTGAGTAATAATGCTAATTGGATTGGTATGAACACTGTGAACAACAGTCACAAACCTCAGAGTTACTACCAAAGATTAAATTTAGAGGAATTATGGACGAAGGTCGTGGCAAAATGTAGAGTATGATAATGCTTTGATTTATGAAAGTAAAATCTATTAATATCCCAAAGTTAATTAGCAGAAGTGAAAAAACTGAGTAGAAAATATGTGTCAACACAAGTTGATGTGTTAGAAGTAATTACATGCAATAAACATGTAGTAGGTTTTCGATAATAAAAATCCCCAGGATATATATAGCATGACAGCACCGGTGAGAGACAATACTGAAGTGTTTCTGAGTTAAATAGGGAAACATGAAGTGTGGGTGTGTATGCATGATAACAGAGAAGCGATTATACTCCAACTCCTAATGTAATCAAATAATCAGTTGAAAACCACTCAATCTGAAAGATAACGTTATATACGCTTGACAACGATTTCATTTTTATCTAACAACAATTCCATTCTAAATAAACAATAAATTAAATTAATCGTAAGCAGAGCAATTACATTGGTGGTGAGTAGTAAAAACAAAACAAGAAAAATCAGAATTATTGCAGAAAACAAACTTTTTCTCGAAACAAAAGTAGAAAGTTTAAGAATAACGACCGTGTGAAGCAGTAATAGACTGATGATAGGTTGGGGTGTTCCCACTACTACCACAAACTGGAAGAAAACACGTCGATGATACTGACGATACAGTGTTAATACTTTTAGTTGGAGTAGTGGACGTAATATTACTAAAACTAATACTATTATTATTACTTTCGTAAGGGACCACTGATTTAACACCAGGATGAACAAAAGGTTGCGTAAGATAATGTTTCTCATGTTCGTTTTTAAATATTGGATGACTACCATAATGCTCGATGAGATCATCAATACAATTGAATACTTTCTGACCAATGTGATATTGTCCTTTCTCAACATGTACTTTGAAATTTCTTGTTTTATTGCCTGCATTGATAGTTATAGTCAAATCCCCAGGCTATTGTATAAGTCAGTATAAATAAATAAGAAAAATAAGTTAAGTTTTATTATATGTTTATTTTATGTATGCAGGTGAAGTAATGAAATCAATTTATTAAGTCGAATAAAAAACAGTATAACATGAAATTCTACCATAACAGTTTACATGCTGTGAAGTTGATCAATCTATATTTTGTCATGTTATACACATACAAAACTCACTTACCAAGTTGAAAAGTTTAGAAATCCAGCGTTTAGCTGCACTACTAAATATGTGAATAATTAATTATACTACTCGTCTACCTAAACCAAAGTTGATGAAAAGGGGTTCGGATGTTTCACTCACTGATTGAAACCAATAACTTCCATCAGTAAGTTGCTGTACATCCTCAAGAGGGGTACTAAATTAATCATACATAAAACAGAGGTGTGATAGCATAGACAAAGTATATTGTACTTAAGCAGTTGACCAGTATACACATATAGCGTACCCTACAACATCTAAGTGTAAAATACTAACTACTACAAGACTAGCAGAATATAATGCAGACAACCACTTTTTGTGGTAAGCCGCTGGGAATAGTCAAAAAGTTCATGTGATTAGATAGTTGTGTTAATGACTGTGGTACTACGGTAGAAAACACTTTTCTTTGTATAGACTAAACTACAGAGGTTTACATGAATCAGAATTAGCTTTGACTTCAAAGTGACGTTACATCGGCCATTAAAGATCAGAAGCACAATGCTGCGATACAATATTACTGCTTCACAGAGATTAAACCCGCCACTTCTAAACTAAGAACTTTTGACGGATATGGATTGGTTTTGTGACACGACTGTGTTCAAAGAATCTCTTGCAGTCGGTAACAACACCAATTTAGTAACGTTAAAGTCCAATAATCCATGTACACAAACTTTTATTGCAGACTTGTGTTCAAACAAAATTATACAGATATATTACCAAATCTGATAACATAAAAACCATAACCTTCATAAATTTTGCATCATATAACTGTTCAATTTAAATTTAATCGGCAGATATGATCGACAATCAAAAGACCAAGTATCTATCTATACATCAATAGTATGAAATAATAAAATTCCTGATTATTTATCGTTCTTTTCCAAAAGTTAAAACATAATAATCAATACACAGTATATTTTCCGAGAAATAGTTTACTCGTCGGTTGTCTAGTGACAGAGCACATAAGCATCCATACAAATAAATAGTATATATATATATATTCATACTTCCTCTCAATAAATATTGATCTACATTAGATGGTCTGTCTGAAATATGAAGAAGAGAATTACATTTATTTTCTTTTTTGGCATAAATCACATCTCGGAATTCAACAACATAATAGCAGCCTCTTTATTGTTATTACTATTATACCAGTTCCAATAGCAATAACGGTAATAATAATAATGATAGTGGCAACACAGTTTGCTTGATGGCTATACCCCCACTCGCAAAATAAGTTGTGAACTGTAATTTTTCCCATATATCTATCGTTGTTATACTATTTACCCAACTGTGCATATTTTTTGTGCATCAGTAACTAATAATTAGATTGGATTTGTAAAGCATTGACCAGTGGATTAGAAAGTAAAATGTAATTGCCCAATATGATGGAGGAAAAAAATTATTTCAACAATAATAGTAGGCATAAATTAAGTTACAGACAATGGTAGATCGAATATTCTAGGTTTTGAGGTGATTTTCATACCATAAAATGAAATTGACTGGAAAATTGTTAAAATTTGTGAAGTACTAGGTCACATCTTTGGTTTATTTTGGGATTCCTCAACAATGCTCACAGTAACTATCTTAGACGAAATTTAAAATATGAATTTTAGTTCTCACAATAAGCATTACAACATTCAATTAATAAATTTAAGATACTACAGTAAAAATCTCCAAATTTCAGAAAAACAAGAACAAACTTGTTTAGTTTAAGCTGTTTCGCAATGGCCTCTGAAAAACTACTCAATAAGATCGAGGTTCTTTGTTCATTGATTATCGTGAAGGATTTTGAAACATCAACATCACATACACTGTTTCAGCAGTAGTGCAATTGTTCATCATTTGCTTAACAGTGGACGTCACATAATAGAACATATTTGCGTTACAACTAATTCACGTTACTCATGAAAACTTACATGTGATTCACTATCGCGAACGATGAATTCACCAGGTAAAGAATGTTTACCTAACATCTCTTCACATTCAGCGCGTGAAATAATACCCCAGAACCATGGTCGATTTATATGTAAGCAACCTGTACTAGACTGTGTAGCATAACTTAGCCTCAATGTTTCTCCATCAGTAGGCTGTGACTTATTTGTTACTGTATAACTTGAATTAGTCGCAGACACCTGGTTACTTCGAATAGAATGGCCAAAATTTGTAGACTGACAAGATAATGGCTTGTGATTTGAACCGAATGATTTGCTTAGTGTTGTAGTTGCAATTGCTGGTGTTGTGAAAGCAGTAACATAATTATGTGGTACCAGACCACTTTCACCACGAGTATTACGACAATGCCACCAAGCTGGATCATCAGGAGGTTTGTTAAGTACTTCCAAGACCTCGTTTTCACCAAAAGACAGCTCTGCTACATGACTACGTACAAATGGGTAAAGAGTTACAACAGTTTCATGTTGCTGTTGCTGACCTTCATGACTAGGTGGGTCGTTATTACGTACTAGTAATTGCGGTTGTTGATGTACTTGTTGTTGGTTTTCTGTAATAGAACCAGGATTCAGAGAATGTTGTTGTTCATAATATTGATAAGCTAAGTATTGAGTAGGAATTTGATCTTGAGTATTTGAAATGTTTGGTACAGACAAATCATTTGCATCCCGATTAAGTGTACTTGAATTTAATATACTGGGTTGTGAACTACTTCCAGATCTGTAACGTTACGTGGAAAAACAATATAAATAAATATTTAATGATTTGGTGGACATATTATACGCATTGATCATGATGTGAAAAGCTTGTTGGCAATATCACTAGTTCGACCTAGATTTTCAAAATGAATTTTGTACTCCAAGACTGTTGAAGCGTTGAAATCAAAACCCAAAGCCTTTTATCAATTCATACTGACAATTCGCGTTTGATTAAACCACTGGTGGTGAAATTGACAGTTTATTCAAATTTAAAGTCTCAATAGATAGAAAGATTTTGATATGCCTTTGATTACATGCACAATAGTTAAGACCTAACAGCCAGCTGAATATTACAGTTTAGACGGTATGACATCTTAAAAGCAGTTGAAAAAGCTAGAACTCAATATTTCCTTCATTTTTAGTCCCTGCTTGTTTGAACTAGAAGTGTTTTTAACAAGTGCTTCGAGTTGTAAAAAACTTATGACAATAAAAGAACTGTGGGGAAGTAGAAATGTACTGTAAATAAAAACAATGTGAATTAGTATTTTGTAAATCGTCTACAATTTAGTATACGATGTATAGACATGCAACAAGAGTTCCGTTCGTTTAAACACAGACAACTATCTTTAGTAATTTATTGGAACCGAGACAATGCGCTTCCTTAAATTGTCACAAGTATGAATCAAGCAAACAATACTTAGTATGAAGCAAAAAAGAGTAACATTTTTGTTAAATGGTTGTGGAGCATAATTTAAAATACTGAGAATACTGACTAAAGATTTGGTGGTGTTATTATCAAATCGACGACAATAATAAGAAGGAAGAAGCTAATAATGATAGCTATCTTGTGTTTAAATATCCTTCCAATAGTTTAAGTGTCCTGAAAATAAAATAACTTACGAACATTTCTAACAATCTTAAATACTTCGATTTACTAACATTGAATGTTTGCAAATGCCTATTTTAGACCATTTTACTAACTAAGTTTTCATCTTAAATTTAAACGACAACGACTTAACCAATAGGATGTTTAGTTTCTAACTTAAGCTGTATACAAGTAAAACCAAGCAAAATAAATGTTTCTACGTTTTATTTAACGTTAGTTATATGTGTAACTCCGCCTGCAGCCTTTCTAGAGCCACTGCCGCGCCCAATTCCGGATAAAAGAGGAGGATTTGGCATAGAGTCAACAACCTCATCCCTTAGAAACAAACATTGCTAAAACACGCTATCCAGGATAAACAATCTAAACCATTCAAACTCTGAACTCCGAATTGAAGGATCTTCATTTGGAAGTTATGGCGCCTGATGATGAAAGCCGAGATTCTGCGGATGTCACGAGGCTGATGTCTCTTCTAACAAAATAACAGTTAATATAGGTAGACGGAATGTCCAAACAGTGTGGCAGATTGGGAGGATCAACCAGATAGTTGCAGAAATGGGGAGATGCAACTTAATGGTGCTCGGAATAAGTGAAACCCGTTGGACAGAAAATATCAGATTTGGGAGAGCTGCATCCTCCAAAACAATGGAGGGGATTACAATGAAGGTTATCCAGTGCTACGCACCAACCAATGATAGCAATGAAGATGATAAGGATTAGTTTCAAGAGAGGCTGTAGTCGATCGTAGAGGTGCTCATGAAAAAGACCTGACCATTCTGATGGGAGATCGAAACGCTCAAGTAGGAATGGGCAACACCAGATATGATGATATAATAGGACGACATGGACTGGGAGAAAGAAACGAGAATGGAGAAAGATTTGCAAATTTATGCGCATTCAACAAAATGGTTATAGGTGGCACGATATTTCCCTACAGGCCCATACAAAAAGCTATATGAGTCTCACTGGATTACACTACACAGAACCAGATCGATCACATTTGTATCCACTAAAAATTCAGAAGGTCAATGGAAGACGTGAGAACAAAGACAGGAACTAACATAGCTCCAGATCACCAACTGGTGGTTACCAAGATGAAGGTTAAGCTAAACAACTACTGGACAATTGGAGAAACAGCATTACGAACGTTTGACACAGCCTTCCTTCGACATCCTGACCAACTCAATGAATTTAAGATAGCTCTCAACAGCAGGATCTACTCAAAAGAGGAAACTTATATGGAAGACAACTGGAAAGGGATCAAACAAGCACTAACTTCAACGTGTTGTTGCTACCTTGACGTGGTGGTCGGGCTTGCCTATCGTGATGAAGCAACCGAGCTATACTGGCTGGAACAACTGTTCCTCAAGGTCCTACCATGTCAGACATGTCGGTTGAAGAGCGGCAAGACTAAAAGCAACAAACCCAAGGTCCGAAGGCGAAGTCGTACTGCTGACTGTACAGAGGTGTGACAGCAGTAAGGTGTTTCCTTCAGACAACCAGCATGACAGCGATGCTGCCTTCCCACAAGGAGGGGTGAAGTTAGAAAAGGTCGACCCTAAAAATGCACACCTCGCCTTATCCCACGGATATCTGTCTCCGGCGGTAAGGTCCCAAAAATTACGGAGCTAACACAAAAATTACCCATAAAAAGGTCGTGTGTGACCGACCTCAAGCAGTTGTCCCTTGGGCACTGCGGTCACGCTCCCAGGTCACTAAGACCACCTCTAATCCAATTTCCTTTTCAGGTACCTCCGGAACAACCCTTCCACGGTGTGGGCAACCGGGAAGTGATAACCGCCCTCATACCTCTAACAGCACTCAAGACCACTGTATTCCGACTGAACTTCAACGTGTCAAGATATTCTGGACCACAAGAGAAATCATCATAAGAAATGAATCTCTATCGAAACCCTGGTCAGCATTCAAGAAAGAAAGATCAAGAAAACAGCAATTAATAACAGCCGAACAAGAGTAGAAAAAGCTAAGACACAGACCGAATACACAGACTCAAACAAGAGAGTGGAGAGGAGCATTAGATCTGATAAGCGGAAACATAGGAGATCTAGCAATCGCAGCAGAAAAAGCTACAAGAGAAGGAAATATGAAACAATTACATGATACAACGAAGAAATTGGCAGGGAAATATAGTAAACCGGAGCGACCAATCAAGAGCAAAGAAGGTAAGCCAATCACTGAAATTCAGGAACAGTGGAACAGATGAGTAGAGTATTTTCAAGAACTCTTGAATAGGCCAGCTCCACTGAATCCACAAGACATCGAAGCAACACACACCGACCTTCTTATAGATGTCACACCACCTACAATCAAAGAAATCAGGATGGCCATCAGACAAATCAACAATAGGAAAGCAGCAGCAGCTGAAGCACTGAAGTCACACATAGAAGCAAGTGCAAACATGCTCCACGTCCTATTCAGGAAGATTTGGGAGGAAGAACAAGTGCCACCGACACACTGGAAAGAACGAAACCTCATCAAGCTACCAAAGAAATGAGATCTGAGCAAATGTGAGAACTAGAGGCATCACACTACTATCGATACCAGGAAAAGTTTTCAACAGTATTGCTGAACAGCATGGAAGATTAAGTAGACGTCCAGCTTCAGGATCAATAGGCTGGATTCCGTAAGGATCGGTCGTGAACAGACCAAATCGCGACACTACGGGTCATCGTTGAACAATCAATTGAATGGAATTCGTCAAATTTCTCTACTACGAGAAAGCGTTTGACAGTGTAGATAGGAGAACCCCATGGAACCTTCTTCCTCACTATGGTGTACCTGAGGAAATCGTCAATATCGTCCGGGATTCATACAATGGACTACACTGCAAAGTGGTGAATGGGAGACAGTTGACAGATGCATTCCAAGTGGGGATTGGTGTCAGACAAGGCCACTTACTCTCGCCCTTTCTCTTTATTCTGGTAGTTGACTGGATTATGAAGACCTCTAAATCTGGGGCGAAGCATGGAATACAATAGACAGTTTCGATGTAGCTAGACGATTCGGACTTCGTAGATGACTTGGCTCTTCTATCCCATACACACCAACCACCAACGAAAATGGTGCAAATATTTATAAACAATTGTGTACGCAAGATACTTAATGTCCGTTGGCCGGATACCATTAGCAACAACCTACTGTGGAAGAGAACAAACCAACTTCCAGATGAAGAGGGAATTAGGAAAAGACGTTGGAGGTGGATAGGAGATACATTGTGGAAATCATCAGATTGCATAGCGAGGCAAGCGCTAACTTGGGATCCTAAAGGCAAGGGGGAAGAGGAAGACTAAGGAACACATTGCGTCAAGAATCGGAGGCAGATATCAAAAGAATGAATAGAAACTGGAAAGGATCGCCCAAGACAGAGTTGGTTGGAGAATGCTGGTGGGCGGAGTATGCTTCTCCACGAGGAGTAACAGGTGTAAGTAAATAAGTATATGTGCAGGTTACAACGTAATCAAAACACGCTTAATGTTGTTGTACTGAGATTTGCCTGACCACTACTAATCTATATGTGCTGTTGTGAATCTTAATATATATAATAGTAGGCAAATCCCACCATTATATTTCCTATCATTCAACTAAATATCAACAACGATCAGGGTCCTAAAGGATCATTTTCCATTTTATCGATGTGAAATTTATGTTATATACTCAGAGTTTTTGTTCCAAATTTCCAAATCAAAGCTTGTTGGTAAATTTGCTTATCAAGGCTGTATTGCTTGTACACCCTAAAGCAATTAGCATGAGTTATGAAGAAGTTAAACTTAGACATATTTATCTTTAAAAACATGGGTAATGTGAATTCTATGAATTCGGATTCGAACTTTTGGGTATATTTTTAAAGTCCCAAAATCACGAAACAAAGTAATCAAACATTAGGAAAAGTTAATAATTTACGAAATACTAACACCTATTTATTTTGAATAATCGTTTACTTTTATTTGTATTATTCGTTCCATCTATGTAAAAAAACACTGCTGTGACAGTATTGTAAAAAAGAAAACAAGTTGCTGTAACATTGACATCCACCTATTCAAACACGTTGTCAATATTGAGTCCAACTATTTGAACTGTCTAATTGTATAAAACCATGTTTATCGGATTGTTTGAGTCCTAGAGCTTATATATAGTGACAAATAAATTCTATCCAGTGACCATGAAATGAAAACTTAGCTACCATTATGCTTTAAAAACTATATCAGTTGAACTGCTAAATTAAATATAACATCTAATAAACAAAAAAAACTTTAATTATATTTAATATATTTACAGGTTCAAATGATTTAGAAGCTGAAACTTTTTACTTCAAAACCTATCTACTACTTTTAATCTTCCGTGAAGTCATCAACAATTTTTTTCAGCTTTTCAGCTATTTCCATCCTTGATCTATCCCCCTCTGCTTATTTACTATACTTTTAACATTATTTTGTTATCGATTTATTTTCCATATATTCCAAAATTCATGTGGGTTTTTTTTACTTTAAATGTTAATCTTTTAGAGCTAATTTTTCTGCATAAACTAATCGATCACATTCTCCAACTTCTTATTTATTTACCTTTGGATAGGTTATTTTATGCAGTCCCATGGCTTCTAGTTTCCGCCCCCGTTCTCGACATTAGAGTAATTACCATTAACAGAACATGGTTTAGTTTTCCGAAACTAAAAGAGTCTATATGTAACATAAACACATTCAAATCTAGGTGATTGATTAAAAAAGCAAATAATAGGAGAAGCTTGAAAAGTCGTGGTCCAAAGAGAAAAAGCACAATTAAGTAGTAATGTAAATTAGAACGTTTTATTACAACTTCCACTGTAAACAGTCTTTAAATACACTAATAATCATCATTTTGAAACTCACCAAGTACAAGTTTGTATTCTTTACTACTACACATTTTTTGTGTGGGTTAAATGATACTATCCGAATACACACACTAAGTGACATAAGTGAACATCCCACTTAAAGTCCCTTAGTTGTTAATCAACATGAAATAAAATGGTCTGCCACTTTAAAATAAATATTTAAGAGCACACTTTCACAATTTAAACGGTGTATAACAGATCAAACGAGCACGTTAATTATTAATTTACGCTCGAGTTATGTCAGTTATATTTTAAGTAGAGAGCGATTTCTATTTGACAGCATTCCATGGTAATTAAGTTATGTCACAGACCAAATAGGTACGAAACACCTGTCCAATGACTCATTAACATAATTATGACCCTACGGCTGATATTGTTAGTCGATGACTAGAAAATATCTTAAAACTCTACGAATGAATAAAATAGAACCAAAAACTACTGACCTATTCAGATTTTTTGATAAATCCAATGTGACATAATTTGATGGAAACCATCCCATTCGCTGTGGTTTACCTTCGGTAATTAGAATACCACGCCACCAACCATCTGAACTTTTTTCCAAAACACGAATTTTATCGCCTCTTTCAATTGACAATTCATCTGGTTGACAAGCAGGGTAATTGAAACGTGCTTGACATATTTGACGACCTAAACCAGTTCCAGTGCCAAAATAGGACGTATTATTTAAAGTTCCTGTCATAATATTAGTAGTTTGCTGGAACAGTGATAAGGAAACATTTACAGCGCCATGTCCATTTTGAAAATTTGGTATGGAATGCTGATTAAAAGTAGTTTGAATAGTAAGAAACGGAATTTGAACAAGTTTAATGAAGTTAATAAACTTGAAACAACTTATCAATCTGTCGAACTTTTAACCAGACGTCTAACCCAGTATGACTTGTTCGTGATAATCATTTTAAACTCATGATAAATTGTTAAATAAAAATGATTTACTGAGCACTACTTTTATCGTACAACTCGATTGCGATTGTAGTACGAAAGAAAAAATGGTTAACTTTGTTGACGTCTTAATGAGTCTTTTGAAAATTTTTTGGACAGAACACCTTGTTTCATGAAAACGAAAAGTAAATTTGATAATGCTAACACATTTATATCCCCAAAACATACCATATTTCCTAAGAAAGATTATAACACATTTTATTGATGTCTCTAAAGAGACCTACATTTATCTAAGCACCAGTTATTAGATTATGTCCATGAGTGTTTATCAAATTAGTGATAGATCTATACACAATACAGGTTACCAGTCTTTTTATGGCTTCCACTGACCGAATACATTTAAACTTTGATCAGATAGAGCACATGGTGTTTTGATCCAAAACGTTCTGCTCGATATTAATGAACCGGCATTTTTAGTTGCTCGATGATTTTCTATTTTGTCACAAATACCTCTGAAGTATCTGCTGGTATTCTGTGGCAATACTTTGATGAGGTTAAATGAAATAAGATTTCAGTATAAAGGACTTCCACAACCAGTTTCTAAATTTGTTTTGAGGTGTCGATTTAGATAATATGAACTTTGGGGAACACAAGTGCTTTATCTTACATACCAGCCGTTTTTGTAATATCATTTTTCAGATGAAAATTTCTTAGCTCTTAACACTATTATTACTTGACTTCACACGTCATTGTGATCCACGATACCATGATTTCGTGTTTGTATGAATTATTTAGTTGAGTGAGGTTATTCATACAACTCGACTAATATCATAAGAATTACCTGGGGGTAAGCTTGTCTTGCATCAGATTTCGACAGCCAGTTAACTGATTCACTATCAACCGTTTTATTTGCATCTTGAAATCTTTTCGCGTGTTGAACGGATATCTGATTATTTAAGGGGATAGAAAAGCTGTCAGAGATTCCTTCCTGAAGTCTCATATCCGCAAATGCTTGACTTGGAGGAATTAAAATGCTTGTAGACGCAGATGTGCTGACAACTTTAGCTCCAAGGGACTCTGCACTTTCGTGTCGTAAATCAAAAGCTGAAAAGCCATTACTCCCATCCGGGGTAGGTGAAGAAGGATTGGACTGTCTAGTGCTTGTACCTTCCTGACGATTTTTCCGGCGTCCCAGAGTATTTCGCAAACTTGAAAATATACCCTAAGAACGTAACGCCATCTATAAATAGTAACAAGTACTTACTTGTTTTGAACGCTTGACATAATTGCTAGGGACATAGCCAGTCTTTCCAAAGGAATTCATCACCTTCCACCAATGTTGGCTATCATCGATAAGTGTTAATTTTTCACCTTTTTGAATTCCAAGCTCATGACTATCTGATGCCTCATAATCAAATTTCACTATCACAAAATCCGTATTTTTATGAGACATTACCTTGCAAAAAATGTATAGAACATTAGCGATTATAATAATAGTAATAAACAAAGTAATTAAATGAATGAGCAGAAAACTTGGAGAATATTTATGACGATTATACTACACATTAATCTCGGAAATTACACTCTGAGTTAGATAGTATTTGGTTCCCTTAACTCCAATAGATGGAAGGGGCCATGGATTTATAAATGTATGGTTAGTATGTGACTAAACTAAAAACTCTCCTTAGAACGGAAGTAGACAATTCATAAAAATTACTGTTTAAGCTACCAATATAGTGCGGCACATAAACTGAGACCACTAAAAATCATGTAAATTATAAATTATGTACAGGTTACTGTACACGGTAATAATTATGATTTATTCTGAGTATCAGTGATGCTAGTTATCCAACGCTTGGAAGATAAGGAGACGATTGAATCCGCCAATTAAAAGTAACGTAGCTAAACCAATGATCCACAAATCAAATAAATATGTATTGAGCAGAGATGTTACTGTCAACTAGGTACATATAATGACCGTAAACATAAGATAGGAGTCGGTTGAATACAATACTCAGGTAGAGAAAATAGTTAAAACGGTCTGTTGGGTTGGGTTCACCATATTTATATTTTCTTATCGTTCTTCTTAACACTTCTAGCTTTTTGAGGTGTTTGAGATCTTCCTGGATGATCTCAGAATGCCAAAACTGACAAAACCCACTTACCTCCGATAACATGGAATGGATAAAACAACTAGCTGTGTAATCTATCGTAACATGTGACCTTCAGTCATTCGTAAACAACGTAGAACCCGGTACATATGTGCATCAGCTCAGGTTACTACGCAGCATAGCAGTAGTAACAGTATCAGAAGTAAGAAAAATAGACACAGAATATAAGATTATCGAAGGAAATACGAATTCATGGAACATAGGTATAAAACAACTTCAAAATTCAGGATCTAAGGAAGACAGAGTGAATGCGGCACGATGAATAGTTTCGATTCATGTAATCGAACATCTTTAACCACTGGTTAAAGGACTCCAACCAGATAGTCTGTGCCAACCAATGAGACTAAGTCCAACAGTCAATGGTGTCATGAACCCACGTCCCATCTTGGTCTATCAGGGCCTAATTTTCCTCTGATTTACTCCTACAATAGCCAACATTGCACCTCAAGGTAGGCAATGGTTGAAGAACAAATATCTCTGCCACCCGAGTTGACGAAGATCCCCTACAATGTAGTCAGAACCTGAGCGGTTACTACTAAGGAAGAGATAAACATGTACACACATACTTCCCAAAGACTGAGCAAGGTAAGTCTCATTTGAGTCTTGGGATGAAATCGCACAACGCATTAGCCATAGCTATCAGAAATTTAAAGTCAACAATAGATTGTGGTTCGTACAAGCTGTAAATGAAACTCATTACCGAACATATAAGGTCTCCACTGTCTGTCTAAACGGTAATTTACCAGGGCTACACATCAAAATTTATCGGATGCAATCAGGCTGCAATGTGAAGCAAATATGGAGATGAACATGAGTTTCTGCTCTTGATCTCAATTAAATTTAACTCTAATTAAGCCCGTTTCGGACAACTACAAATGGGGACCCAGTCCACTAGTGTTACTTTAGTACTAGAACTTATAGCAACACTGGAACTAAAACGGCTGGCATCAATGTTACACACCCCTAGAAATTTATCCACGAAGCAGGATTTTTCCAATAGAAATTGAGAAACATTGTAATAATTCATTAGGATATAAAATCGAAATAGTTAAGAACTAGGAAATTTCAACGGCGAGAGTTTTCATGGCCCCAAACAGATCAGCCTAGTGTCCAGTCAACTTTGAGCATTTCAAGCTTAAGTCTTTCACGTCATATATATATATATATATATATATATATAACGATAGGCACAAGAAATCTAATTAACTCTCCATGGCCGGTGACGACTGATCCACCAAATGAGGAGGAAGTCCGCAAGGAACTCCAACTCTTGAAGCGTTACAAATCACCTGGTCCAGATGACTTACCTCCGGCCCTTTTTGAAGATGGTGGTGACTTTTTGACTAAGGAATTGACGACGTTGTTTACAAAGGTTTGGGAACTAGAGAGTGTACCAACGTCATGGAATGAGTCGATAGTTGTCCCTATCTTTAAAAAGGGTTCACGTCGTTCTTGTAACAACTATCGGGGGATAAGTTTACTTCCGATTGCGTCCAAGCTATTGGCTTCCGTCATTCTTCGTAGGTTGTTCAAAACCCGAGAAAGATTGACTCGCGAGGAGCAGGCTGGTTTTCGTTCTGGTCGAAGATGTATTGATCATATCTTCACCCTCCGCCAAATGTTAGAACACCGCCATACTTTTCAAAGGCCAACAATCGTAGTGTTTCTTGACATCAGGGCTGCCTTCGATTCGTTGGACAGGACTGTTCTCTGGGATTGTCTATTGAAGAAGGGTGTGCCTGAGAAGTTTATTAACATCCTAAAAGCCCTGTATAAAAACACCTCAGGCAGAGTGAGGGCATACAACCACCTCTCTCCATTGTTCCATTCGAGCAGTGGGGTTAGGCAGGGTTGCCCAATCTCACCATTCCTCTTCAATGTTGCCATCGATGACATTCTGGAAACAGCTCTGATGAATGTAAGTAATGGTGGTGTGGATCTGTTGCCTGGAGAAAGACTTCTCGACCTTGAGTATGCGGACGATATTGTCTTGCTGTGCGATAATGCCCAAGGCATGCAATCCGCACTTAATCAGTTGGCAATCAGTGTCCGTAGGTATGGTATGTGCTTTGCACCTTCGAAGTGCAAAGTACTTCTACAAGACTGGCAGGATTCTAATCCTGTACTCACCCTGGATGGTGAGCAGATAGAAGTAGTCGAGAAGTTCGTGTATCTGGGTAGCTGCATAAGTGCTGGTGGGGGTGTGAGTGATGAGATCAATGCACGAATAGTGAAAGCCAGAGCGGCTTATGCCAATCTGGGCCACCTTTGGCGCCTTCGTGATGTTAGTCTGGCTGTAAAAGGCCGGATCTACAACGCGTCGGTGAGAGCAGTTTTGCTCTATGCTTGTGAAACCTGGCCTCTCCGAGTTGAGGACGTTAGACGACTCTGTGTTCGATCATCGCTGTCTCCGAAGGATTGCTGACATTCAGTGGCAACACCATGTCAGTAATGCAGAGGTTCGGCATCGTGTGTTCGGGCACAGAGATGATAACTCAATTGGTGTCACCATCTTGAAACACCGACTTCGGTGGCTTGGACATGTTCTACGAATGTCGTCCCACAGAATTCCACGTCGTGCATTATTTGCCGACTCTGGGACTTGTTGGAAGAAGCGGAGAGGTGGTCAGTGCATGACATGGTGTCGTAGCATGAAAGAAAGCTGCAAACGACTGGCTTCTGTTGGTCCTTCACGACTCCCTGGCTGGGGTTCGAGAGATGGTGCTACACAGTGGCTAGAGACGTTATCAGATATGGCTCAGAATAGAAGCCAGTGGCGATCCTGCTGTAACCTTCTTTTACTTTCTTCATAAAAAGTGGTTGTGTCTCCATTACCTGAAAGATTTCTTCTGATTGTACCTTTTCGTTCCGTCGTTACTACCACACTACCTTACTCCAATCTCTTCGTCATTGTTCTCTTTTTCTTTTGCGTTCCTTAGTTTTTTTTTCTTTTTTCTACTTCTCTTCGAATTCCCATTGTTTTGTGTGGCGCATATATATTGGCGCTCTATTGTACCAATATTTATGTGTTCAAATAAATAAATAAATAAATAATCTAATTAACTATTCATATAACCTGACCAGTGTTGAGTTCTGGTAGGTAAAAATTCATGCCACACGTCAACCAGTGTTTATGATGCAGTAAAGGATGAATTACGAAAGAGTTGACCAAACAGTATATATTTAGACCTATTTACCAGCTATCAGGGTATGAGCCATACTGTGTGAGGGCTAGTGACACTATCTGGCCACCAAGAATGAAGTGGGAGGAGCGGGTTTAAAATGTGGGACAGGTAGAACCCGCTGACTACTAAGTAGACAGTTTGTTATTTTTGCACTTAAACGACTGTATCATGAGTCAAAAGCCCGGACAGATACCTTAAAAAGTGTAACACTTCCATTCCATGTTTAGAGACCCGTGGTCATACACTTATCAGTTTTCTTTATTGAAATAATCATATCGTTAACTTATAGATAATAACAGCTCTTTTAATTATTATACATCTTTCGCCAATCTCCGTCCATATAAGCCCTATCTTAATCAATATGTTCCTGCAAATGAGATACAAACTATGTACGCTTGTTTTTATTAACTTATGTCGCTCCCAAGATATTGCCACTTGAAGAAAACCCGCACAAAAAGTGGATTTATACTAATTTTACTTTAAAAGTGTCATGCTTTTGGGTTAGTTAAACATACATAGAACGAACTAAATGAATCGGAATGGCTGCGCCACATAAAACTTCTAACGAAATTTTTCCGTTGATTAAATAATTCACTGTTATGTTTTCCGTGATTTTATTCGACGATTACAAGTTACCGCATTCCATTTGAAGTTAAACTCCAGACGCTTAAACCGACGTAGTGACGTTTAGACGGAGGCCTGAGAGTTGACTTCTTTAGACAATAAGCTACCATTACGTACTGAGGTTGGAAGCTCACCTAACCGTCCTTCAACAGCGCACCCTCATGGATAAATCAATGACATTCGACATGGCACCTGAAGTATTGTACGGAATTCGTTTACCCGTATAGTATTTTGAGATCATAGCTGATTTTCAACCCTAACTATTAACTTAATACCTTATTTTAATTCCTCAAACTAATTCGTAACTCTATTTTTAAAATGTCAAGTGGTTGAAGTATTTAAAGGCCGCTTCACTATTGCTCAAGTATTACCCATTAATGATAATTTTTCCGATGAATTGCAAAACCCTAATCTATTACATCACCTAAACAAGTGCACCATAAACAAACAAATCAGCACAATAAAGCAGGTAACTCAAGTCTAGAGATCATTCGTACTCAAAGCTTGCATAAGCTGTATGTAATAAGAGGGACAACAAGTAAATATGATGATACAAAGATTGACAAGTTTGTAACTCTCGACGAGTTAAGCATAATACAATAACGAAAACCACATACCAACACAATCTACCACTTTCTAGCAGACCATCGAACACTGCGCTTACAATTCACTGTCCAATAGATGCATGAGTTACACGATTTTTGGTCTTCAGTGACCTACGTTAATCTTTGCGATCCTAAATACGATGAAGATTTCACCCGACTTAAAGGACATCAAAATAAAGTGCTGATATAACATTTTTGGATACTTTAAGTGTTGGATTCATTTTTTGCCTCGTTCACATTCCTCCAAACTTCGGATTCAATACAAAGTGTAAACTAGGGAAATAGGTATAATTTTTCGCTTGTCCAGACAGGCGCTCATAACCACGAAATTCTGACTCTCAGGATTTGATCTCAGTCATAGTGAGTTGTGGTTTACTCATATCCAGCATTTCCTCACTAGGCACAAAATTAAGTCTGAAAGACTTAAATACCTAGCTTCACGCTCTCTCCCTTCCAAGAGTTTTACTACCTCATGTTCAGCCTCTTCAAGTTACAACCATGTGCTATGTTTTGACGTGAGATTATGAGCCACTTGTAGAGGCAAGTAAATCCCCAAAGTAAGTAGTCCTGTAATCCTTCGACATTTACTCTGACCTCATTAGTTTTACTGGACACACCCTAGCTGGAGATGTTTGGCCAAGCATCCGCACGATCAAGTATGCCGTGCTACACAATCCTCTTAATAACTAGCCAGCTTAGTTGTTATCACTGGGAGGTTGGTGTCAGTTCAATCAGGTGTAGTCATCCATCAACTTGGCAAAAATGGATTCTCAAGGAGATGGGAAATTAATAAATCCTCCTCAGATCTCAACGACTGATGAGTGTAATATAAGCAGTCACTTTTTGTGCGTTAAAGGTTAACGTAGTGGTATGCCATGTTGATGATTCCTTGCGACCACTAGCCATCTTGGACGTAAAGCTTCTTGACATATCGATAGCTTTCCAAATATGTCTATGAACCCCTTTACTTCTGACTTCTGATTTGACTGGGCTGGTGTGTTTCGATTATGAAGTTGTTATGTGTAAAGATGATTTAAAGCTTCGAATACCTATGTCATCTCTACTCTGCAGCGACGAATATCAAACTAGAAAATGAAAAAACAGAAAGAAGGAAATTAGGGCTTAAAATGACATCCACAGTGAGAATAATGCTTTCGGATGCGATATCCACCAGCTCAATGGATGGAAAATTCAAGATATTTCGGGCCTATTCGAGATCGAGAGGCACATTTTAGAACACGTATTTTATACAGATATAAGTTATAAGACATAAATGAATTTTGCGTTTCGGTCTAATGGTTTCCCCCGTAGACTTTACTTTCAATCGCCCTGCATCATGTTTTGGTGCAAAAACAATTCAGTACCATTGACTGATTACATACATAGGGTAGATTCTCATATAACCTTAGTTTTGAATGATCCCTCTATTGTTTCAGGTCACTTTGATGTTATATGGAGTCAAATGGTCAAAGTGGTTGCGGGTCATGAATGAGCAGCACATCACATACAGTGAATAGCCAATCTTGTGAACTTGATTCCATCGTTTCACTGTCAAATACCTGCGAAAGTCACTGACCATGAAATATTTATTATCTCCATTTGTCGTACTACATATGCAATTGATTACTTTTACAACATTTTCCACGGGCTTTAATTCGGTACAACACTTTTCATGGCACTAGCTAACTGACAGTAGTTCAAATTGAGTGACCATTTAGTGTTAACCAGATAAATCCTTTGCACTCGTGTCCTTTACAATCTACATGTTTCCAATTATTTTGCGGCGTACAGTGTGAGATAATATACCATACGTTTGCAACATTACTGGCCAAGTCAACGGTTATTTGTAGGTTTATATGTCTGAAAATTCGACTTGGTGCATTTGTCTCACGACAGTGGATCTTACATTACAATGGATAGGCTCATTTAGTTTTGATGTGAAACATTAAAAAGCTCAACTCCAGGAAAGAGAAAGAAACGATGGTTGTCAGCTGAGATAAATAAACCAATAAATTTCCCAAATAATAAGAATAAACAAACGTTTTAGCAGTAGGCAAGCGAAGCTTAAATGAAGCAAAAGGGGCATAAAAATGCTAGCGGTACACCATACTATTAGCGATAGATAGGCTACAAGACATTCGCTAAGTACAACTGTTCCGAACGAAAAACCGTAGGAAATCTGTAGGTGAGTACGTGATTGTTGAGTCCGTTCTAGGAGGATTACCGTGACTTCGTTGAAGTAATGTTAGTAACAGAACCGATTCCCTTTTAGAAAACGTGGGATTGGATCCGATGTTGCTGATTTCGATGAGCTACACCTCGAAAGCCACCCGGTGGATCGAGATAGTGAGATGCCAGTAAAGTGAATGTGTTCACATATACCGGCGTACTTAACATGTTGTTTGCCATTATCAAATTACCTCTTACTCTCCTGCAGCCACTGTGAACAATCTCAAGGTTTGTCCCTCAGTCTTATAACTTATAGTGTTGCCGATCTCTGTACTTGTTCGGACAGCTTAATATCTCTTTTGGGAGGGAGTGAAAGAACGCTGTGACTTTCAATTTGAGACATATTTTGTGGCTAGTGTTGATAAGAATTTCCGAGATGATACCGCAAACCTGTTTGCACACGAAGTAAGGAGTTTTAATTGCTTTGGCTGCATCCTCAGTATATTTTATAAGTTCGCGCTCCTTGAGGATAATTGGGAACGGATCAAAAAAGTGCATAGATTTTCTGGGTCCCATAGGTTTGGATGTTCATAGCGGGACATTTGGATAGCCAAGATTTTAAATCGCTGTCCACCGCACATTTATTCAGTGTCGTGATATCTTCCATGAACCTTCATACTGTAGTATCGTCAGAGGAAAGTAGGGTCCGTGAACCAACTTTATCTAGAAGTTTGTTACTGGAAATTAGAAAGACGAGAGGCCTTCAGATGGTGTTGTGCAAAATGCCTAACGTCGAGGCCAATCAGTTTGCGTGGACTCTCTTACCTCAGTGCAGAACACTCAGTTTTATAGGTAATTTCGGGGCCAGTAGAGAACTAGGTCAGTGATATCCAACCTTGTGACATTCATTATAGAGAAAGCACATAGAACGGTGTTGAATGCACTCATAAAGTTAAGGAATATGAAGAGTATCATCCCAGTAAGCTATCAGGCAATTTCCATGGTAAGAGCTTGAACAAATAGAATCTACCTCGTCTGAACCCATTTTTGGCTTTGTAAAGGATGCTGGTAATAACCACGTATTAGGCTATTTGGTAACTAAGTAGCACCTGAATAAATTTGGACAGCGATGGAAATAATGTTTCTAATTCGTAATAAGTCGGATCTTTCCTACCTTTGAAGATCGGAAAAACTAGTGAATCCTCATTGTTATGAGAGTTGTTAAGCCTATAATTTATGTCCAATCAAGTCGTATACAGGTCACTACTTCACGGTCAAAGGTAGATGTTGCCATATTGGGGTAAATTTTCTTCCGGCAAGTATTTCACACTCTATAATACTATCCCGGAAGTTAGGTAGATGTCACTTCAATCTGCTTATGTGTGAGGTGAAACAGCCACTGAAGATTTCTGTCATTACTGGGTTGGCAAAATAATGTTATTAGTCTCTGACAGAAATATTCCTCTGGTTTTTGCTTTTAGCTGAGGAATGGACATCTAGATATACTTCATACTAGTACGGATTTTATTGATTAACTTGATTTGCATATACCTCTCGTCGCTTCATAATCTAGTGCTGCATTTAATCTTCAGTTCCAGGTAAGAGCTGCGGTTGGAATGCATTCGTATAAATTTCCGTCTGTCAGATTCTCTTTTTAACCCAAACTAAACATCGCTTCAGCTAATCTTTCTTTCCGGGTGAATTATATGTTAAATTCTTGAAAAATAACCTTCACTATCTCACGGTGGTCTTCTGGTACTGCCTTCCACCACCGTTGCAAACACGGATAGTGTCGTAGATGATCCTCAATAGCCACATAATGTCCAAGGTGTAATAAAGGTTCCGGGTATTTGCAATCATGATTTAATAATACTAAGCCGCTACACAAATCATCCCTGAAAGTAAATAAATACTGGTCCAAAAGATTTACACTGGATTTTAAATACATGACAAAAAAGAGTGAAGGCCAATTAAGGCCAACGATCATTGAGTTTTCGAAGAACGTCTGGTCGAGATCAGAGCAAAAGGTAACACCAAGATAATTGACCTTCGACACTGTGTTTATCAAAGAGTCTCCAATGGCACAAGCATTATAGGATCTCAAAATGGTGTTTAGATTCCGTTCATGTATCATGCTAAAGTTAACAGTTTGACATTTAGACGAATTAAGTATGAGACCATTACCAACAAACCATCAATCAATACGAGACAAAAACTCATTCATTTCTAGCACTATATTTTATTTTATAATTACACATAACCCCATACTCTCAGCTCCTTTCCGAATCGCCTCCATTTGTCAGTTGTATGTCCACTCACACCTTGTTAACACTTATTTTCTTTAACCTATTAAAATGCTCTTTCTTAACAAATACCTTACTAAACGAAAATTAGACTGAGTAATCATACCTTAGACATCCCTGCATGAATATTGGCTATCCTGCCTCTCGTCCTTTCTTTTACTTGCTCCCTCTTTCAGCCCCCATGTGATATGGAACGAAAGATTTCATCTTGCACCATCCTCAAAGCCTTAGACATTCCAAAGGGACATACGGTTGCGACATTTAGAAGCTCCCATCTTCAATGGACCTATCCTTGACCATCAGTTGCACATTCGCAACGCAACTTTCGTGAAGCGCGCCAACTGTAGCACTAATTAAAACCATCTACATTCATATCTTATAAATTATCAACCCAGCTATGTAATTTACTACAGTGGATATTGTATCATTTGTATCAATTTGATCTTGCCTGTAAACTGGCATGCCTCATGTAACAAACTGTTATTTGAGAATAAAATTATTATTATTATTATTATTATGTAAAGAGGGAAAGATAGGCATACATACAGTGAGATCATCCGCATATTTCACAAAAGTGTTTTCTGTGGAAGATGGC